CTATTGTGATGGTAGTTTCCAGTTTGTAATGATGTTCCCTTTGAAAATGGCCCGTAAGGACCGAAATATGTAAGGGAGATAAAATTTAACGTAGTAAAAACTTACATATCAAACTGGACTGAGTGGTTTGTATTTATGATAGGTGCTCTGCTCTGTTGCAGAAACTCTGGAAAGTGTTCCCTTCGTCAGTATTACATCGCCACAGGTTAGAATGAGTGAGCCACCAAAGCCAGAGTCTAGGAGCGTCGAGAGCAACCAGTCTCTTGGCAGCAGTGTGGAAAATATCATCAAAGATCTGGACCATGTGAGCAAAGAATCCCTGGTCCGCACATCGAACGTCGAATCCCAAATCAGCGGCTATGACAAGAAGGTAGGTATTTGGCTTCACAATGTATCAGTGACAGAATGAGAACGCGATTACTTTGAAAATTAAAATGCGTTAAAATCTGATTTGAAAACTGCGACATACTATTTTTAGCATTTGTGCCAGATGAAACTGAATTCTTGGAACCTCGGTGCTTTCACAGATTATTCTGTGAAAATATTCTCCTTTCTCTTTGCAGTATTATATATTAATTTTCCTTTAAATTTATACTTACCGTTATGTTATTTGCTATTGTAGCGTGAAAGATTGATTGGCATATGCCTCTAGATGCAGGAAATCCTAACACAGTACTCATGACTCAAAATAATATTTGATTTTGAGTTCCGAAGAAAAATGCTACATTAATAACATTACATTCTTTAGAATGGTTGGTGCAAGATATTCATAACAAACTTTGTGTTTCCTAGGAAAAGGCACCTAAAAGGGAAAGAAGCCTCAGCAAACTCTGCGGCTGGTGCAGAACAAAACCAGGGGATACTGACACTGTAAGCATGTTTATCATTCTAGGCATCTTTCGTAGAATTGAACAAACGTTTATAGCTTACAATGGAATGTGAATATACCTTTCCAGTATATATAAATTATTTTGTTGCACTTATCAAATATCAGCTCAGGCTATAGAGCAACGGGCTAAAAGCTTGGGGAGTGGGGTTCTATTCCCGGCAGGCGCAAGATATTTTATTCTACCGAATGGCGTCAGACCGTGTCTGGTCCCAATTAGCGTCCTACTGAGTGGTTACCACGTGCGGCTTACCGTGAGTGAAACGCATGGGGCGCGAAGGCGTCCACTCACTCCAAATGAAGCGAGCGCAATGAAAGTAGAGCTCTACGTTCACTAACCCGCACGTCTTCATAGTACTCTGCTTAACAAATTACTCACAGGGACAGCTTTGCATTTTGCTTATGAGATCCACTTACAACCAAAAATAATTCTGTCATAAGATCATCATAGACCTCACAGGTGTTTAAAAAAGACGAGAAACCGAAGTGCCAAAACCCGAATTTCTTATAAAGTTTCTTTTAATGAATTACACATGTACCTCTATCAGGTGAATAGTCAGTTAATGGAGTTACATGTGAATGGTATAGAATAATATGAAAAAAAAAACAATAAAATAATTTCAAGCAGTTGAGCCCCTCTTGAGAATGCGCCAATATTTAGCCACTCAAGCAATTTTCCAACACAATATATAAACAAAAACTTCCATTTCGTGTTTAAACATCCCGCCACTGGTCTCTACACTGACCCGGATTGACCCAGTCCATACCACAGCATCTTTGTATTTCTCTAATATACATTTTAATATTGTCAATCCACGTGTGTCTTCGTCTTACTAGTTGACTTTCACTATCTGGGCTTCCTACAAATATCCTACACGCCTTGCCACTCTCCCCATTCGTACTATATGTCTTGCAAATGTAAAATCAGACTCATTTATCTGTGCAAAGCCTTAACACAAGGAAGAATCTCTATCGTTAGGAAACAGTGCTAAAACTCAGCCGCCACCAATGCCACTGCACCATACGTATGCTATTGGAGCAGAGGCCACTTGAGTATATGTAGTCGAGAATGTTTGTCAATCACTCCTAGGAAGACTCCGTTTCAGGGGTAAAGAGAAAATTAGTTTTTACTCTATGCCAACGGGGAACACTATTTACCATACATGTCAAGTAAAGGGGAGTTCACTTTATAAATGCATCTGATAACTGATTTACGATATGTATTTGTTCCAGGTTCCCGTTCCAGATGATGTAGTACCTCCAAAGAAAGAGCAACTGCTTACTCAAGCGCCCAAATGTGACGATGAAGGTAAGTAATATCCTAGGATAATGCTGCATTCCTGTTAGTCCTTGTCTTTGAACAGTAACTGTCATTTCTTAAGAAAAGAAGAAATACATCAATTACAGGGAAAACAGGTCTCAGACTCCCTTTCACTACATTTTTAATGTTTCATTCTGAAGGACGCACAGGCGAAACCCCGCGGGAATATGTTAACATAGCAGCTGCGTGGGTAACGTGATCTTTTCTGTTTACAATAAACTTGCTTTTTAGAAGGCCGAGGGCTGAGACTCTAATGCTATCTCAGGAGTCTTCTTTGGTGATGATTCGTATGAAAAATTTGACTAATATGAATGATAGTCTAAATTTGACTCTCGGAACATGCTTCCTAACATGGCGCCTTCTCTACATGTATGGGTTCGACATCTCATTCACCGTACAAACTTCCACGACTCATTCGCTCCTGCCGAAAATCATAATTCATTACATCAGACCCCCAGGGTTTCATTGGCATTTGAGTACACATAAATATTAGTCAGTTATATTCTAGCCAGATATGAATTAATCAGTGCACAAACAAGATTTTCATATTGGTTTAAAGTTGCAGTTGTTACCGGAAAGATGTATTATCGTAGACAATAAGATATAAGTAATTCGAAAGGGAAGTTTGAGTCGTAATATATTATTTGCGATCGTAATATATGCAGTGCACATTACTTCCTCCTTTACGTGATCATTCCAATTATACATTTAAAATGGAACATTATGTTACGTTTGTCAGTAGAGAGTTTTCTCCATCTTCCTTATCCTTACATTCTGCTTTTTCATTTTTCTGTGTTTAAAGAGAATTAATGGTAGAGACCAAGGTTCAAAACAACAAAATCCCACTGACGGTGGAGCAGAAGACAAAATCTTTCGGAATATGTGGTGGAATATATAGCTGAATTGAGTCTCCTATTCATTCTGTCATGAGTCTCAATTTAACTCGATACTGTTGATGCAAAATAATCTAACACTGCCAAAATCTGAATGGACCTGCACTTTAATTGTTCCCCGAAGCTTGACGGAGAGATCTGAATGTATTTCGATTTCTCAGCGTTTATTTTTACCCCAGCTCAACCGGTAGCGACAATTGGAATTTCTTTCGCCTTTTATAGAATCATTGTTGTCTCCAAATATTTTAAATTGTCAGCATAGGTGTCTATCTGACTTATCGCGTTTAATTTCAGTGGGTTATGGAATCCATGGAGCTTCATAATGGTTCAAAGTAAATGCAGTTGAAAAGCAATGGTGATGCCATGACCACTACTTCATTTTGGAGGTGCAGTTGAGAAACACTCTCCCATACGTAGGGCGAGGGTGCTCATAATAGGGAGCAATGAAATATAAAGTCCTCATAGGTGCTTGCTCAGTTGCAGAATCTCTGGAAAGTGTTCCCTTCGTCAGTATTACATCGCCACATGTTAGCATGAGGGAGCCACCGAAGCCAAAGTCTAGAAGCGTCGAGAGCAATCAGTCTCTTGGGAGCAGTGTGGAAAAGATCATCCAAGATCTAGACCATGTTAGCAAAGATTCCGTGGTCCTCACATCGAACGTCGAATCCCAAATCAGCGGCCATGACAAGAAGGTAGGCATTTGGCTTCACAATATATCAGTGACAGAATGAGAACGCGATTACTTTGAAAATTAAAATGCGTTAAAATCTGATTTGAAAACTGCAACATACTATTTTTAGCATTTATGCCAGATGAAACTGAATTCTTGGAACATCGGTGTTTTCAGAGAATATTCTGTGATAATATTCTCCATTTCCCTTTGCAGTATTATATATTAATTTTCCTTCATATTCCCACTTACCGTTATGTTATTTGCTATTGTAGCGTAAGAGATTGATTTTCATATGTGGCTAGATGCAGGAAATTCTAAACACAGTACTCATGACTGAAACTAGTATTTGATTCTTGAGTTCCGAAGAAAAATGTTACATTAATAAGATTACATTCTTCAGAATGTTTGGTGCAAGATATTCATAACAAACTTTGTGTTTCCTAGGAAAAGGCACCTAAAAGGGAAAGAAGGCTCAACAAACTCTTCGGCTGGTGCAGAAAAAAACCAAGGGATACGAACACTGTAAGCATGTTTATCATTCTAAGCATCTTTCGTAGATTTGAACAAACATTTCTAGCTTACAATGGAATGTGAATATACCTTTCCAGTACATATAAATTATTTTGTTGCGCTTATCAAATATTATCTCAGGCTATAGAGCAATGGGCTAAAAGCTTGGGGCGTGGGGTTCTATTCCCGGCAAGCGCAAGATATTTTTTCCTACCGTATGGCGTCCAGACCGGGTCTGGTCACAATTAGCGTCCTACTGTTTGGTTAGCACGTGCGGCTTACCGTGAGTGAAACGCATGGGGCACGAAAGTGTCCACTCCGTCAAACTGAAGCGAGCGCAAGTAAAGTAGAGCTCTACGTTCACTCACCCGCACAGGGACAGCTTTGCATTTTGCTTATGTGATCCACTTACAACCAAAAATAATTATGTCATAAGATCATCACAGACCTCACAGGTGTTTACAAAAACGAAAAATCGAAGTGCCAAAACCCGAATTTCTTATAAAGTTTTTTTAATGGATTACACATCTGACCTCTATCAGGTGAATAGTCAATTAATGGAGTTACATGTGAATGGTATAGAATAATATGAAAAAAACAATAAAATAATTTCAAGCAGTTGAGCCCTTCTTGAGAATGCGCCAATATTTAGCCACTCAAGCAATTTTCCAACACATTATTTAAACAAACACTTCCATTTCGTGTTTAAACATCCCGCCACTGGTCTCTACACTGACCCGGATTGACCCAGTCCATACCACAGCATCGTTGTATTTCTCTACTATATATATTAATATTGTCAATCCACGTATGTGTTGTCTTACTAGTTGACTTTCACTATCTGGGCTTCCTACAAATATCCTACACGCCTTGCCACTCTCCCCATTCGTGCTATATGTCTTGCCAATCTAAAATCAGACTCACTCATCTGTGCAAAGCCTTAACACAAGGAAGAATCTCTATCTTTAGGAAACAGTGCTAAAACCCAGCCGCAACCTATGCCACTGCACCATACGTATGCTATTGGAGCAGAGGCCACTTGAGTATAAGTAGTCGAGAAGGTTTGTCAATGTCTCCGAAATATCTCCTAGGAAGGCACCGTTTCAGGGGTAAAGAGGAAATTAGTTTTTACTCTAAGCCAAAGGGGAACTATTTACCATACATGACAGGTAAAGGGGAGTTCGCTTTATAAATTCATCTGATAACTGATTTACGTTATGTATTTGGGCCAGGTTCCCGTTCCAGATGATGTAGTACCCCCAAAGAGAGAGCAACGGCTTACTCAAGCGCCCAAATGCAACGATGAAGGTAAGTAATAAAATGCTGCATTCTTGTTAATGCTTGTCTTTGAAGAGTAACTGTAATTTCTCAAGAAAAGAATAAATACAAGGAAAACAGGTCTCAGACTCCCTTTGACTATTTTTTTAATGTTTCATTCTGAAGGATGCACAGGCGAAACCCCGCGGGAATATGTTAACATAGCAGCTGCGTGGGTAACGTGATCTTTTCTGTTTACAATAAACTTGCTTTTTAGAAGCCCGAGGGCTGAGACTCTAATGCTATCTCAGAAGTCTTCTTTGGTGATACATTCGTATGAAAAATTTGACTAATTTGGATGATCGTGTAAAATTGACTCTCGGAACTTGCTTCCTAATATGGCGCCTTCTCTACATGTATGTGTTCGACATCACATTCACCGTACGAAATGCCACGACTCAGTCGCCCCCAGGGATTCATTGGCATTTGAGTACACATAAATATTAGTCAGTGATATTCTAGCCAGATATGAATTTATCAGTGCACAAACAAGATTTTCATATTGGTTTAAAGTTGCAGTTGTTACCGGAAAGATGTATTATCGTAGACAATAAGATATAAGTAATTCGAAAGGGAAGTTTGAGTCGTAATATATTATTTGCGATCGTAATATATGCAGTGCACATTACTTCCTCCTTTACGTGATCATTCCAATTATACATTTAAAATGGAACATTATGTTACGTTTGTCAGTAGAGAGTTTTCTCCATCTTCCTTATCCTTACATTCTGCTTTTTCATTTTTCTGTGTTTAAAGAGAATTAATGGTAGAGACCAAGGTTCAAAACAACAAAATCCCACTGACGGTGGAGCAGAAGACAAAATCTTTCGGAATATGTGGTGGAATATATAGCTGAATTGAGTCTCCTATTCATTCTGTCATGAGTCTCAATTTAACTCGATACTGTTGATGCAAAATAATCTAACACTGCCAAAATCTGAATGGACCTGCACTTTAATTGTTCCCCGAAGCTTGACGGAGAGATCTGAATGTATTTCGATTTCTCAGCGTTTATTTTTACCCCAGCTCAACCGGTAGCGACAATTGGAATTTCTTTCGTCTTTCATAGAATTATTATTTTCTCCTAATATCTTAAATTGTCAGCATAGGTGTCTAGCTGACTTATCGCGTTTAATTTCAGTGGGTTATGGATTCCATGGAGCTTCATAATGGTTCAAATTAAATGCAGTTGAAAAGCAATGGTGATGCCATGACCACTACTTCATTTTGGAGGTGCAGTTGAGAAACAGTCTCCCAAACGTAGGGCGAGGGGTCTGATAATAGGGAGCAATGAAATATAAAGTCCTCATAGGTGCTTGCTCTGTTGCAGAATCTCTGGAAAGTGTTCCCTTCTTCAGTATTACATCGCCACAGGTTAGCATGAGCGAGCCACCGAAGCCAGAGTCTAGAAGCGTCGAGAGCAATCAGTCACTTGGGAGCAGTGTGGAAAAGATCATCCAAGATGTAGACCATGTCAGCAATGATTCCGTGGTCCGCACATCGAACGTCGAATCCCAAATCAGCGGCCATGACAAGATGGTAGGCATTTTGCCTCACAATGTATCAGTGACAGAATGAGAACGCGATTACTTTGAAAATTAAAATGCGTTAAAATCTGATTTGAAAACTGGAACATACTCTTTTTAGCATTTATGCCAGTCGAAACTGAATTCTTGGAACCTCGATGCTTTCACAGAATATTCTGTGAAAATATTCTCCATATCCCTTTGCAGTATTATATATTAATTTTCCTTTAAATTCCCACTTACCGTTATGTTATTTGCTATTGTAGCGTAAGAGATTGATTGGCATATGTGGCTAGATGCAGGAAATTCTAAACACAGTACTCATGACTGAAACTAGTATTTGATTCTTGAGTTCCGAAGAAAAATGTTACATTAATAAGATTACATTCTTCAGAATGTTTGGTGCAAGTTATTCATAACAAACTTTGTTTTTCCTAGGAAAAGACACCTAAAAGGGAAAGAAGGCTCAACAAACTCTTCGGCTGGTGCAGAAAAAAACCAAGGGATACGAACTCTGTAAGCATGTTTATCATTCTAAGCATCTTTCGTAGAATTAAACAAACGTATTTAGCTTATTATGGAATGTGAATGTACCCTTCCAGTACATATAAATTATTTTGTTGCGCTTATCAAATATTAGCTCAGGTTATAGAGCAATGGGCTGAAAGTTTGGGGAGTGGGGTTCTATTCCCGGCAGGCGCAAGATATTTTATTCTTCCGGTCCCAATTACCGTCCTACTGAGTGGTTACCACGTGCGGCTTACCGTGAGTGAAACGCATGGGGCGCGAAGGTGTCCACTCACTCCAACTGAAGCGAGGGCAAGGAAAGTAGAGCTCTACGTCCACTCACCCATATGTCTTCATAGTACTCTGCTTAACAAATTACGCACAGGGACAGCTTTGCATTTTGCTTATGTGATCCACTTACAACCAAACAATAATTCTGTCATAAGATTATCATAGACCTCACAGGTGTTTACAAAAGACGAGAAATCGAAGTGCGAAAACCCGAATTTCTTATTAAGTTTTTTTTAATGGATTACACATGTGACCTCTATCATGTGAATAGTCAGTTAATGGAGTTAGATGTGAATGGTATAAAATAATATGAAAATAACAATAAAATAATTTCAAGCAGTTGAGCCCTTCTTGAGAATGCGCCAATATTTAGCCACTCAAGCAATTTTCCAACACATTATATAAACAAAAACTTCCA